TTTTCTTTTTTCAAAAGCTTTTCTTTTTTCTGGGTTTTTTTTTGGGAAATATAAAAAAAAAAAAAAAAAAAAAAAAAAGATTAGAAAAACTGGACTCTGTCGTCTGTTTTAACCATGATTGTGACTTCTTTTTAAACTTCTGTGGGCAGATTTACAGTAACTCTGACCATGTTGCTGACCCAGAAAAAAAAACCATGGGGGGGAGAATTTGAAGGGGAAGATCTGTTTACCTTTGGGTAAAAAAAAAAAAAAATCCATTCTTTCTGTGGGGCAAAACAAACCACTTTTTGTGTTTATGTATGACAACTGTGCCCTCTTAAAAAGGTTATTGTTCTTTAGATTTCATAAGAGAGGCAGAGAAAGAAAAGCAGAGTTGAGCAAAAGTCCATCTTTGTTCATTTGGAGCAGATGTGTATGAGTGGATCTGATTTTACACGGTTGCATCAGACAAAGGACTTGTTTCGAAATCCGGTCATAAAAACATCCCACCCCTAAGAAGCTGCACATTGTGTGATGAGACTTCCTTTAGAACATGTGTTGGGCTTCAGTATTTCACTCGCAAAGTCCAAACTGGGCGTTAGGAACATGAAAACAGTTTCCAGATTTTTAAATGGTCGTTAATGACGCTGAGGTTATCAAACAAGACAGCTAATAGTGCTACCTCTGAAAAGACACACATTAAGAGGAAAACTGACCCAAAATATTTGTCCTCTTGGACAAAATATATATATATTTTTACAGGTGAATCTGAATAAATTAGAATTTCATCATAAAATCCACTTACTTACATAATTCAATCCAAAAAAAATTATGAAAAGTAATTAAAAACAGAGCGATGAATTTCAATACAAACCCAGATTTTAATTCAACAGAAAATTATAATCTAACATAAAAGTAATGCTATTGCCATGACTGCTGACTTGACTGTTGTCCAAGATGCACTAGAAAAGGTTAAGTCACTGAAGTCCATTTCTAATGATGCTGCATATTAATGGAAAGTTCAGTGGGAGGAAAAAGTGGCCTGAAAAGAATATGAATACTGAGCGTCATTCCTTGTGGTAAATCACCTTTAAATGAGAAACATCAGAAGAATCTCGTCTGGTTTAAAGAGAAACCTGCTGCTCAGGTGTTCAGAGTAAAGTTTGCATTTTATTTGGAAATCAAGGTCACAAAGTCTGGAGGAAGAGTGGAGAGGCACAGAGCCACGTTGGTGGACGTCCAGTGTGACGTTTCCACAGTCAGTCAGTGATGTTTCATCTGCCACAAAGTATATAACAAATCTAGTTGAACTAAGTTAGAGAAATAAACTTTGTGATGAAGTTCTTAGTCATTGAGATGCACCTGTAGTCACTTTCATGAACTTTTAGAAATAATAAATCAACCTTTTCTACACGATCAACAACCTGAGTAAGTTTTCCACAGGGGTTGCTTGGTTCCTGGGCGGTTTCACGCTTTATCACTTCATATATCTTATGAAACCTGTTTCGCTTTCGCAGTTTCACTCTGATTCCGCTTAACCAGGAAAGACAAAACGTTAAAGCATGTTTCCCTAAAACGAGGAATTTACTGTAAAACCTCCACAGAAAGAGCCAAAAGTAACGAATTTGAAACGGTGGAAAAAGAGAGAGAAGCAGAGAACCAGACCTGTTAACCTCGCCAAGTTAAACTATCAGGACTCGAAATTCTTTACCTTTTTACGCAGCGAGAGGCCCTTTTTATTACACAACATAAACTTCTCCATTCCTCTTGTTTTTGTCCTCCAATCCTGTGCTGCTGCTTTCGCTTCACCTCCCCGTTATAAACACCCCATCTTCTGAGTTTGTGTTTATGTTTTCATAAATCAGTCTTCTGCATTCCTCTGTCTGTTTAACCTGCGGGGCTCCTGTGGTCTCCTGCAGCACGTTGAGCCGTCAGTTGAAATGATAGTAATCCGTTCCTTCCCTCAGCTGCAAAGCGTTGAGGTTTTCCTCCAGGACTCCTCCTGTCATGTCCTGCGGACGCAACCACAGCAAACGTGAAGCTCGGCCTAACGCAAACAACAGGAGAAGGATCAAACGACGGACATGGAGTAGAGGCGAAACGTTGCGACGCCATTTAGCAGCTTCGTTTTGTGTTGCTTTTTGCATTAAATGTAACACAACAGTTTGACAAAGGTATTTAGGTCTGAAATCGAGTCCAGACTTCTGTGCTTTTGAGTTTGATTAACTCTCTTAAGTTCCATAATTGAGCATTTAGAAGACCGTATAGGTGGGGTCACTTCAGATCTGAATCTAAATCTTTCTCAGTGATAAAAAGTGGGAAAAAAAAGCTGAAAAATACGAATTTCAGTAAAATTGTTCAGCTTTAATAATCAAACGTAAACGCTTCTTACTACGTTTCATGATTTAAAGCATGAGATGTTAGCGTAAGCATCCCATGATCAAAAGATCAGGCTGCCGTCTCTTCCCGTTTCCTGACAGCCTCGCCGTGTGTTTGTACGTTTCACATCCTGTGCAAGGCACACGCCCTGAATCATTATGTCGTTAGGCTGGAAAACAGGCCAGAGGGACGCGCGGTCAGGAACAACAAGCGTGCAACACGCAAACACGATCCGGGCTCACCAGTTTAACGCAGATAATGAAGGGGCCCGTGGCCTCTTTGTAGTGCAGGACGGGGACCGTAGGCTTTGGTCTCTCCTGGAGTCGTATCAACAGAAACATCCGTAAACATTAAACAGTTTATACGTGTTGGTTAAATGTTAAGAATCAAAGACCTTGCGGATTTTTTTTTCTTCTCTTTTTTCTTTCTATGTTGATCTCACCTTGGACTCCTCATATGTGTAGAAACGCTTCTGAATTTTGTTTTCATCCACGTCGCAGAACGCTTTGACCTAAAGAGAACCAGCGAATGCATCAAAAACGCAAAAATAAGTAAATCGATAAATGACTCGGCTGGTGTCCCACATCACCTTCTTCTGATTGATCAGGCTCAGGCTTCGGTAGAGCTTCCTCCCCTGCTTCCCGGCGTTCCAGATGGTGAAGTTTTCCCACTGGCTCAGGACTCTCTCCTGCAGAAAGTCGACGCGCAGCTTCCAGATAGTCTCCCTGATCGCAGAAAAGAGAAATGTGGTCATAATCAGGATGCTATTCAAACTTAAATAACAGCAAGTTTGTAAGATCAATCAGTACAAATTCATTTTGTAATAAATATTTCATTCCATTCTTTTTACGGCTCTTTTTAAACAGACATAAATGTATTGAATTACAAATGTGTTTGATAACTCTGTACCACTACGACACACTTAAATACACCAATAGCTTCACATGTTTGCTTGGCCAAACATGTAAAAACTGACTGAACTTTAATTTGTTCAGTCAGGAGTGTAACAGCCACTGTAAATCAAATAATAAAGAAACTGGAACCAACAGTTTCTTTATTATTTAAAGGGTTTGCAAAGGGGAAATAGGAAACTTAATACAGTAAAATAAACAATACAGCAAGCTGTGTTTCAGAACACCAAGCGCAGAATTAGACTTAACAGATCTGCCCTTATGGATCTGGCACGTTGTCAGCAAAACCCAATCTAGAAATGTTTTCAATATCGGGACAGATGCAAATATTAATATCGGATTGGTGCATCTCTCCTTTAGTTGTTATAAAAATGCTGTAAACATAAAATATAACTTAAAAGACATTTTACGTCACAATTTAATGCTTTGAAATTGTGTCTCTGTCTCTTTAAGAAGCTCCTGCTCTTTCCAACCAGTCATAGTAACTTTCTCCATTAAGCCTTTAACGATGCTTTTAGGAGGTCACCACCAGGAGTTGGTTAATTGCTGCTGCCACTAGTCTGGAGGAGCTCCGTGACAAAGGCGGCAGCCGATGAGCGTTTATGCGCCCTGAATGGTTGCCTCTGGAGAATAAAGGATTTGTCAAACATAAACAAAAGATTCAAAGCAAAACTCCATGTATGTTCTAGAGGAGAGAATAACATTATAACATGATGTAAAGCTTGAAAAAGTCAGTACAGTCCATTTAAGAAGAACTAAGGAAGTACTTTGACTTGTCATCTGATGCTCTACCAAACGTTTTCTGTAACTCAAAATATGCCCCAATGTTTTCCCACTGCTAACATTTACATAGAACTGAAAGTATAACAGCAGAAGGTGTTTACACCACAGTGATGACTGACTGCGTTTATATCAGAGACTAAACACGGTTGCTGGTCTTCAAGTGCGCTGAATCGCACACACATGCAAAACTTGATGACAGCAGGCAGAACGAAAACGATGAAACTAGTATTTGTGCTCTTTACACCTTCGCTGAAACTGAGCAATTACCTGCACACATTCGACCGAAGCGCTTTCTCCTTATTTTTCAAAGTGAAGCTTCTTACTGCGTGTACCAGCGGGCCTCATATGACAAACAAGAGCCTGGGTGGTCTCAAGAGGTTTTCTTTGCTTCTTTCCTTACAGCCATTGACTGCAAGACACGGCAGCAATACGGGAAGGATCCACTAAACACACAGCTGCCACTCACTTTCAAAGACCAAAAATAAAAGCCTTTTATGTTAGTTACTGTCTGACATTATCCTTAAAAATAAAAAGACTTTTCTCCTCACATAAGATCAGCTGCACTGTTTGGCAGACAGAAATAGGGCCACGGTTTAATTTGGCTGACTTGAGGAAGTAGGTAAGCAGAGTGACAGGGTGTCAAGAGAAGGGGGGAAAGCGGAAAGTAGACATGCCTGAAATAGACCTCCCAAAAGAGACGGACGATGAAAAACACAGAGAAGGATGTGCATCAACACCAGGCAGATAAATTAGACTCGGGAAGGAAGGAGGGATATAAAGGAAGCTCATGTCAGCTTTCATTTTACATTTAAAGACACGCTCGCATGCATGGGACACCTGCAGACTCCACACGGTGGAGCTCAGGCAGCAGTGAGCCCAACACACAGCATCCCAAGCACTTCTGTTCACACCAAAACACGATTTTCTACGAGCAGCGTTCAACGGATGGTTAACATTCCAGGCGGAGAAGACCAAGATTCCTGATCTGAATGCTGGGAAAGTGACTGGAATGCCAAACACATTGTCATAAAATCTGAAAAGTCCGCAAAACATCTCATGAGCGTGTGTCAGCGGGGAGCATTTGGGTTCATGCGAGAGCCCTGGGAAACTCAGGGACGGCAGTGGGCAGCTGGGTGTAGGTGGAGGATCAACACTGTGACCAAGCATGTGCGTGCGAGAGAAACTCAGTGGGAAGGAGGGGGAACGGTGAGACTGACTCGGTCACAGAATGAGTCGCAGCCGCCTCGTGGTACCGATAAACCAGCAGGCGCTGGTCCAGCCTGAGCGGAGAGCCTCCCTGACGAAGGAACTGGTAGAAGAAGAGCAGATCCTCTGGGACTCCCTGGAGAGAAAACAGAGAGATTGGAAGTCTGTCAGTAAAGATGCAGCATGTGCTGTCAGTAGTGAGGCCTGTTTCACTTTCAACACAACTAAAAGTGATGGAGATAATGATTTTTATGTGTTTTTCAGTCACACAGAATCACTTTCTAGCCCAATCAAGTAACTATGTTACCTTCAGTTGCCATAAAAAAGTAATACGACTTCTTAAAATTCGGAATCCGTCTCTTTAAAAACTCTTGTTCCTTCTGAAAAGTCATCACAACATCGCTCCTCTGTTGAAGCTTTATGCCATGTTTAACAACGTCTTTACCAGCGTTTCAATGAGATCTACCTCCTATAATGAGCTCAGCTGATGTGCCGTTCCATCAGGAGTTTGCTAATTGCTGCTGACTAGTCTGAAGGAGCTGAGCGAGGGGAGGACTGCTCCAAAGAGGAGGTGGTGCTCGGTCCCACCAAGCATTTTGCAGAGCTGAATGGTTGCCACGGGAAATTGAAGGTGTGCATGAACGAATCAAAGCCACACTCTAGGTATGATTTCGATGAGGGAATAACAATATAACATGATGTAAAGCTTTAAAAAGTGTATTTTACATAATGTGTAAATTATGTAATTTGCCCCTTTAATTGTGGTAAATAATTTTTGCCACCCAGCATTTGCGTCACATGATGCAACAGACTTTGTACATGTATCCATATGTGAAGCAATAAGCTCATTTTGTGAAACATCAACTGTGTTTTAGTGTGTAAAGACAGATGCTACTTTGTGTCATTTTTCTCTTTTTCTATTTTTAATGATCATCTGACCATATTGGGCTGAAGGTTCAATGACTCCATATATGGTCTAAGAGTGACCTTCAGTGGTTAAATAGCTAAATTACCAAGGGTCTGAAAGGGACAGACCCCTTATACTGAGAAATATCAACGCATACAGAAGAGCAGAGCTGCTGCTTCTCCACATCGAGAGTTTAGGAGGTTTAAGTTGCTGACAAGGGCTTTTGATTAGCATAAGGTAAAAAAAAATGTGTACAACAAACTGTTCTAAAAGATAAATAGGAGTTTTTTTTATTGTAATTAGTCTATTGACAAGAATTAGTATAATGGTCAGTAAATGTAACAGTGTATTACTTAAATTTGTCTCTTCTTGTGTAAGTTTTCTTTAGAAACATCTTTGTTGATCCAACATATGCAACACAAAGATCCCATCATTATATAATCACCAGTGATAAAATTATAATCAGCAAATATTGATGCCATTAACTTACATCTTCTGTCACAAATATTGTTGCAAAAGCTAAAGACCATAGTTACTATCAGATAAACAAAAACACTGGAATTTATGGGTGTTTCTGTTTATATCGTCATTATGAACCGTCTTAATTGCTACAATGTTCGTTCTAAGCTAACGTTATCCACTCATTTCAAGAGAATGTACTGTGTGGGCTAAACAATTATAAAATAAAAAAAGGGGGAAAGTTGATCCTTATTACTTTTCTGTGTATTTTACTTTCTACAAAGCAGCACTGAACTTGAAGCAGATCGTCGATGCCGGTGTGATTTTGTTCTCTTCCCCCGTTTATCTGCATCTAATTCAGTGAAAACTCTCTGCTCAGGAGAGAAAATGTAAACAACAATCCAAACATTGTTAGAAAAAAATGTGTGTTAAACAAATGAGATTAAGGAATGGTGTGAGAGTTGAATCTCACCTTGCCTCCTTCATCAAACAATCCGACTTTCATGAACAATTTCCTTGAGCAGAACCATGTTGGCATGACGACCGTGGGCCCATGCGAGGTGTATGCCTAAAACCAAATGCCAGGTCCAGATATAAAACAGGCAAGTCAGATAAATACACAGAATCAGTTTCTAAAAGTAACAAAAAGACAGAAAACAAACGGGGGCATTAGAACGTGTGATAACACAAAACCTAGAACAAAAAAACAAGACAAACCAAAATCATGACGAGCATTTAATAAAGCAGCTATACTCTCTGTTACTGTGGTTGTGGAAAATAATGTCTCTGCCTCAGAAGGGTTAGATTTCTCATCAGCAATAAGGTTTATGGAACAGTTTCCTAGATTCCTGAGAAGTACAAAAACTTGGTCAGGAATAGCCGTGTCCAAACCCAATAACAGAAAATAATGAGCCATCATCCTCAAGACAGAAACTTGGCATTAAGAAATCAGTGTGAATCAGGAGTTTTCAATATTGAGCCTTTTCATTCACATGGTCTGAAATACAACTACAGGTACATGAACCAAAGAGCTGTGCAGCTTTGAGAAAGTTCAACAGAAATTTAAAAAAAAAGGACATCTTGGACAACAAACTGTCCTGGGACACAGCTGAACATTTCCCAGATTAAAATAGACATTTTATGATCAGCAGTGTTACAAGACTCACATATTTAAGGGTTACAGCAGGAATTACAGGTAGATCTCAACATATGATGATAATAATGAAAATGTAATTTATTTCACTAGTTTAGCTAAGAAGGTGAAACTCATGAATGAATTCATTAGGCTATTAGTAATGCAAGTCAGGCTTACAACAAAGAAGAAACCCAAACTTCAGTGTCTCAGTAAGTCTGAATATCAGGCAGCGTAAGATTAATAAAACCATATTATAAAACAGTCGCTCATTTCGATGATGGCACTTCATTTGTGAGAATTTCTGTATCAGTTTGTTGTACGAAAAAACTCAGGTCCGCCTAAAAACCTAGGTCTCGGTTCGGCTTAAGTGAACTCTGGCGCAGTTTGAATGTGTGGGTTCCAAATGTGTGGATGCAAGCGGACCGGATGCCGCTCCAAAAGCAGGAAGCGAACTATAGTGTAGGGCATTCTGGGTAAATACGACCAAAACTAATAAGCGAGTCCAGCGCTAGCGGAAGAACTGGCTCCTGGTCTTTTACCAAAGACGAGAGAGAAATCCTACAACTGCTAAAATTTGACGCTACTCCATTTTTGTTTATATTTCATGAA